TGTCATCCTTGTCTAAAAGGATTTTGATCTCCTATTAAAGTCTTCTACATGGGTTCTTGAAGTGCCTCACCTTTAGAATGAAGGATTCTTATTCTTGAAACTAGTGGATTATTAAACTGCACATGCTACTGTTTTTTGATTGACATAACATAGTGGCATTCAGTTATACATCGAAGGACGCGTTGCAGTCATTGACTGGCAGAGCGAAGGAGATCGAAACGCTGTTCGACGATTTCTTGAAGAAATTAGAAGCAGCCGGTTGGACTACGAGTTACTGCTTGCTGGGTTTTAGTCCGTGGCGACTCGACATAAACAGTGGAAAAATCTAATTTTACTTTTTGCTACCCTCATTTTTTGTTATTGTTCGTCGAATGAGGGCGCTTGGCTTGATTTGGCTGAACCGTTTTTTGTTATTATAAGACAAAAGCTGACGTCTTACTTTCTTTGTTTTGATGTCATTTCATAAAAAAGTATAACTTAACCGTGGAGCTGTTGGTTCCCTTCAAGTTTCCATATGATCGCCCGTTATGACAATCTTCTTATGTATTACTAATAGTGCAATCAAATCAGGAGGGACTGCAGAAAAGATACAGTAATCGGCAGGTCAAGTTTTATATGCAACGATAACAATAAATTTCGATAGTTTTTGCAACAGAAACTAGTCATTCGTTTCCTTCTTTCATTCTCAATGACCAGTCTGCATTTTTTAGCCGGCTGCAATTAACCGCCGATAGACTCTGCTATGCCAGGGAGATACGTCCGGTCGTTTTCGAGGTTGCGGTGACTTGCGTTAACCTGGTCGTAGCTGACTCTCACAACGATCGTTCATCAAACAAACTAGCCTGTGTTGTAGAAACTGGAAGTTTGAATGATTGTTCATTCGGTTCATACCTCAGTGGAAAAAAAGCAGTGCTCAACCATCAAATAATGAAGGGAATATTCTCTCCACTCAGCTACCGTGATTCTGTCATTTTCTCCCGTGGCGCCACGTAGTCTCTGCAAATTAATTAGTTTTCAAAATTCACTCGTTTGTCGTAATATTCATTAACCACAACTGTTCAGTCCGTCAGACTCAGTACCAAGAGATCACGGGTTCAAGCCCTGGTCGAGTCACTCGCGTTCCTTCCTTCTGAGGTTGATAAGTGAGTGCCGTTCTTTCGGAAGCAAACAAAAGACTATAGCACTACGTTTGCCACATCTGCTGTCAACTGTTCCTTTAAAAAATATGGAACTTCTGGAGGGCGCGAGACTGGCCATATCACATGAACTGTAACGAGGAAAATTGACATTGCAGTGATTGCAAATTTTCCTTCCCTTCTTTTTGTAATATTTGTCTATGCGTTTAACTTCAGGCATCCCTTAGAACTTTATCCATAATTCGTACCTACCAATTCTATCACTCTTGACCAAGCCCAAGCTTTTAGCCATTCTCAATAAAAAGCTAAGCAAATTTATGAAAAAAAAACTTTTAATTTACAAATATTTATTTTAATGCATAACTGAGAGCTGGACAACCAAAATTTATCCCTTGAAATAAAACATTTCTTTGGCAAATGGTGCCATAATGGCTACCATGGTACATCAACGTATCCAATCATAGCAGTGAAACTAACAGTACTGCACAGTTCATGTTGCGCCTGCTTCGAACAAACCATCAATGACAAGCTTTTGCACAAACTGCCATAACTTCGAAGGCTACAAGCTGTAGGACATTCCTCGCTCAGAATAAGGAAAAGAGAAGCGAAAAAAACTGGGCTTTCCTTCGTTCAATAACTTCTTGCAAAAC